GCGAAATTCGTGCCGATCCACTACTTTGGGTCCTAGGGGGAAAAGTACTTTTTCATCCTCCAGGCACAAAATCCTTTTCTGCCTACGGGCTTAAAGTAGTTGGCAGGAGAAAAATTCACTTATGGGTGCCAAATTAGACCTTGTGCTCTGTAAGCGTAACGCATAACTCTTCATTGGTAATCAACGTAAAGCATTAAAACATTAATGAAAGTAATGAATCTGTACGTAAGCCAGCGATTAAAAAAAGGAATGTGACAATAAATCCACGTAAAAAATATAAGTTGTTTATACTAAGTATGATAGAAGAGTATAATTAAACAATAGAATAATACTGGCAGGACATATTAAAGTAATAGAAAGATATATTAAAGGGATTTTGTTATAAAATAAGTAACAAAAAAGTCCTACTGATTAAGTAAAAGTTTATGTGATTATAAAAAAAAATACAAAAGTGTTAAAGGCGATAAGTTTAAAAATAGTGGTAAGAAAATTATTATACAGAATTACAAAATAGTTTACAATTCAAAAAAATCGCACTCACTAAGTAAATTCAAGGAAGCACAAATTATAACTGAAAGTGAGAATTGGCTATAAGCCATAAAAGACAGAACAAGAAATCCAACTGAAACTGAAATGTAATTTGAAAAATAAGATGAAACTACATTACAATCGAAACTAGCAGTCAAAGGTTCTGAACAAACTAAGCACATAAAACATTTTCATTGGTTATAAGCAAACATTAAGAATATTATTATATTGTTTTGTCAAGATAATTTATTTATCAACTAAATAGATGTATTAAGGGCACTTTAAAGTGGCATAATACAATTAAAAAAGTATACTTTGTAGCCAAAGAACCATGAATACAATGTTATTTTAGGTTGTAAACTGAGTATAGCGTTATGCTGATTAATAAGAGGTTAAAAATTAAATTTAATTAATGTCATTACTTTTTAAACGGTTATAACTTTGTTTGAAGTTATTCTAATTCCCTTTACATTTGTGAATGCAAACTCAAGTTTAATATTAATTTAAGTTTTGAAAAATGCTTGATTAATTTTTAAAAGAATGTACAATAGTGTAGTATTTTGGAAAACTCATAAACAAAAATTATGTAACCTAATGTTTAATATTTGGGAAATAAACAACGTTGTCAGAAGCTCTTGACGAAATATTGTTTACAAAAATTTTTTGGATAAAATACTTAAAGCTTAACCCAAAAAGCCAGTTATTATTAATAAAAATTATTTAGGGACAGTTGAAATTTCTAAGTATAAAAATTTTACAAAAACTCGAAGTACATTGACATACTGTATTTTTATGTGTATGAAACTTATTAAAATGAAAATCTAAATAAACTGAAATTTTATAAGTAAAATAATATCACAGATATGTTAACCATAAGTTGAAATAAAGATAAATTCTATATAAGTAAAAGATTTTTTAAGTTAAAATAATGCTTTAAAAAATTATGATAAAAGTAAATAACATTCCAAAAAGGCCAGATTGTGAATTCAAATTGGTGTGTGGTATTTTGGGTAAATAAGTACAGTCTAGTTCAAGCTCTCATACACATGTAAATAAGAATCTTGAATTGTACGCTCACTATCATGCGATACAGTAAGTCAAGCCCTAGCTTTTGTCGTAAGTGGTCATTTTTTAGTCATTAACGTTACAATGTATAAAAGACAAAATTTTCATTTCTTACTTTGTATTGTTATTATACTTCTAACGCTATCTTGTTATTTTTCTTCCATATAAATCGTTACATAACCAACTGTTACTTTACTAACGAACAAGGGAAAAACATAAGTGCCCGATGAAAACACCTTTTTTATATTTCAGCCCCTTTCGTATATTATTCTTTTCCCCGAGGGCGTTAAGTAATTTTTTTTCCCGTTGGTACGCTTTTGTGCTCAATACATCACTTTGGGCCTCAGAGCAGAAAAGTATTTTGGGCTCAGAGAGTGCAATTCAGCAGTTGTAGTTCGTGCTTATTGTAAGAAATAATTGTTTTCATCGAATAAGCGTTACCACTATTAAGGCTATTTTGCAGACCAAACGACCTTTAAAGCAAATCGTTTCTCTATAATAACATAATGTGTTTCTAGCTGTTACCTGGCAAAAAAAGTCTTCTTTGTCTATTTAAGGTGCACAGTGTGGCACAAAATATGAAAAAGGACTAAGTAACATGAAATCTGCTTGCATTACACGAGAAGCATATAAAATTATCAATGGTTCTTGACTTACCAATTCAGATTGGCTAAAGAACGATTCTCAAAACTATACATAACGTTTATCATCAGAACAAAGACAGAACAGGTGCTGCTAGATAAGTTTTGGTTCCACTAGGCTAGTTAAAATGATTTTAATGGTCCAAACTGAGCCAAGAAAAAAAAATAATAGTCAACGCAACCACCACGAAAGCTGCCCTGTCATCACGTTCGTCTGTTAAAGAAAAACGCGTGGGGATGTACGATGCAAGGAAGACGCAATTTGGATGAAAGTTAAGCTTCTGCTCACGTAGACGAAGCTGTACAGCAGGCATAAGTTTAGTTATTTTAAGTCAAAAGATGATAAGATATCAATAGCTGTGGCTATTGGAAATCAGGGTGCTTTAATATTAATATACGAATGCATTCTGTCATTTTCAAATATCTTCAAATAGGGCTACATAGTTTTTTTATTTTTTTATATTAAAGTGCTCTACGTCCGGCTCCTTTAATAAGGGCACCACTATGGGCACTTTGCACTTGGAAAAGGAACAAGGAAAGGGATGGGAGGCCTACTATTACTGGGAGGGAGGTAGGGGGAAAGTAGGCAATTTTGCTGCGAGAAGGTTGCCCAGACCCTCCTCGAGGAGCATTGCGTGGTAAAAAAGTACATGTGAAACTCACAGAGGTACTTGCTCGAAAGTCACACTGGCCGGGAATTGAACCACGGTCTCCCGTGTGCCAATCCACGACACAGCCAACCAAGCCACCGCGCGCTCCGGGGCTACATAGTTAACAACAAATACTGATGTAGCATCAACATTTTACAGCAATTTCTAAAAGGTACTTAAAATGAAGTTTATAATTGTATTGAATTTTTTGTATAAAGTAGCTTATGAAACTGATTATGCAGCTTAATATTACCTGATTAGTTAGCTTTCTGTATTCTCTAGAACAAACGAAGGTAATACATGTATCTCTTCTGTATAGTGTGTATATCTAAAAAGTATTACAACTTAAAAAATAACACAAACTAAGAACTTTGATGCAACAAAATTTTCTTTATCTTTAAATTTCAAAAATTTTGTACTTGTATATCAACAGTATAGTCTTGTATAGCTACGTTATAGTCTGATTTCAAGCAAGTGACTTGAACTAAAATCTTGCATCAAGTTGCTAAAATTTTTTACAGTTTACCGTAATTCGATACTAATTGGACTTGCGTGCACTGGTGAATATGTAGGTGGGATATAGATAAATATTCATTATTCTTCCTTCTGTGAACACAGCTTTCGAACATATTGATGCCAAGACTACAAATAACTCTGATAACATTAAGTTTTCTTTAGAAGGGTATTGATTAAAAATATTCTGGCCACACAAAAGTTGGACGCTTTTTTTATCGAGCTGCAATGCCCAAAGGTGTCAGCAGATTCTGTTACAAAAAATAAAATTATGAACTGACAACAATTATCTTTCTTAATAAGCATGATAAATTATCAAGTAGTTTGCTATGTACAGGAAATAATATCAGACAAAAAAAAATAAAAAAATAACATTAAACCCGTTGCTTCAAGATATAGAAAAAAAATGGGTGGGCTACATTGTAGAGTCAATTACTTTATTTCAAGCCGTTTTTTGAGCATTTGTTTGCTTTCGTACAATTAACTGTATAGATACATAAAACTTCTTATTAATATAAATAATTAAGATTGCTCACTACAAAAGTACTTTGAAAAGCATTTTACCAGATGAAATGAGACTTCAGAAAAAAAACGCAAATGCCTTTAGAAAAAATGAATGTGATATCGTACGTTAGTGACATTTATGTCACAATTTTAATTTTCATTAGAAATGTTATAAATTTCAAGGAAGTTCCTAAGGGATTTTAAAATACAAACTGAGAGTACACAAGGATAGACGTCAGATTTAATAAAACTTGCGAGAAAGTATTAAAGGTGAGGGACTCCATTAAATTTGTTTTATTGCTTAATTGTAAGATATTTAGCCTTACATGAATTTGCTATCACTCCCTCACTGAGAGTTAGAACAAAACTCTTGAGTGTATGAGCTCGGGTCAACGAGATTGACTAGAACTTCTAGTTTAGATATTTTGCCACGAACTTTTAACTACTTATTAGCCCTGTTTTCCACCTTAAGAGCTCAGTGTACATTTCGGGTTTTGAAGCGCAAGCTTACACGCAAGTAATACGCAACGTTGACGTACCAGCTAACTAAATACAAATGATGAAGATAAAGAATAAAAAGAGTTTAAAAGAAAATCTATGATATAGCAGTCAACAATAATTGGTTTGTAACGTTGATGTTAACTTATTAACTGTTAGCAAACTGACTATAAAAATCATTAAAAAATACTGCAATTTGCTTATAATACGTAAGAAAAAGTTCTGTAAAAACAAATACACATGAAGTCCATAGTTTTGATATATACCTAATCGAAAAAATTTTTGCGACCATAATAATGTTAAAGTTTCTTCTGTATAATAAAATAGTGGAATAGAATAATTATTTCGTTAACTTCTAATTTAAATACTCATAAAATAAGAGTATAGTAAAGAATTGAAACTGATATTCACCAGATTATAAAGTACTTTTAAACTGTGAGACCTATTTGCCTATTCAAGCTAATAAAAAGTTAATTCTTTGAGATTACATAAAAGTTCTGTAATTTAATTTCTGTAGGTGATAAACAATTTATGTGTACGGAAGTAAAAAGAATATTGCAGATAACTGATTAATAATTATTGTAAAGAAACATTTTTATTATTAGTTAAAGTTATCAGGTGTGATCAAGTAACTAACAAAGATTTTTTCCACTTTAACATAATATTCTAACTTACGTGGTACACAAGCTTCAAATTTCTCTGGAAATTCCTTAATTAAACTGTTATTTATTTGATCTTTTATTGGTCCAAGTATAACTATTGGTCTTGTAAAGTCAATCTCCACTTGTTCAACTTCTGCATAAACTGAGGTGACAATGTTACTATTGCTATCTGGAAAAAAATTACAATCCTATTTTGCAAGAGTTAAATTTATTGCTTACAAACAATTTATTTTGTTTTTAATACTTTGACATTTTTCGACTTGAAATTAGTTATACCTGATTATAATAGAGAGAGAATGGGTAATAAAAAGTACAATGCTGTTCTAAAAAATAGAAAGTATCACTGCGACAGATGTAAATTGCGTAATTAATTTTGTAATTAGGTTCCAATAACTATAAAGAATATTTATCCTATGGGTACATCTGAGTTTAAATTAATGTACTAGTAAAATCTTTTAGGTATGATATTTTTCAGGTCTTAAAACAAAAAGCATATGCCTTTTGTTTTTACCGCAGTACCTGTTTCTATTGTACAATTAAATCTCTTTCAAATTGAGTTTCCGTATAACAAATTTAACTAATGTTTTGAAAGCTGACGGTAACAGTGCATTATCTTTTAAAAAGTTATTTAAGTTTCAGTTTTTTTAAGCTTTTTTTGCTTACTTTTATCTTTGATCAAGGAAAATTGCAGCAAAGAGCCAATTTTCTAAATAAATTTAGTATAATTAAGTAAATTATGAAAAAACAGTGTTACATGACTTTTAGTTCATTACAGGTAGCGAGGAAGAAAAAGAGAGGGAAATAGAGTTCAGTTGAGTTTTTAAAAATGACAAGGGACTCAAGGTCTTACAGCATTGTGGCTTGAGCTATTGCCGAAAATACGAGCAAGTCTACGCATGAGCTAAAGTCTTCCGAATAAATAAACGCAGTATATTACTTCTTTCTAGTTTACCAAATGAAGCAAATTTGAAAAAACAAACATAAAAAAGGCAAAAATAATTAAAGAAGGGTTAAAATGTAAAAAACAGAATACAGAGTAACAAAATGTAAAACAAAAATAAAACATGATAACAATTAAGACACTAACGATAGTGTTAACAAAGATTTTCAAAAATAAAAATAAAGTAAATCGCATGAAAATAATCTACATTGCTCTAACATTTATACCTTTCCATTTGTAATGACAAGTCTAAAAAGACTCTTATGGAGCTGCTAATCACAATCCGGTACCTTAAAATCTATGCTTAATTCACGTGAAATAGTTAGATGTGTGTACCTTTATTAGGTTTAACTCAGATTGACGTTGAGTATCATATTTGTCCGGGGGCTAAGCACTGTACGACTCAGCAGGCACAGAGACTGACCACGTTTAATAACAGAAACTAGTAGGTAAGGAGCCAGATGCAGTTTCTCACAAATATAAAGGATTGCTAGGGACCTATTAACAAGCGTAATATTATCTTATGCTGATGACTAACCGCTGGCACACATTTTAACAATGAGATAATTTAGTGCACATTACACAGGATATGTCGAACTTAATTGTAAAATAATAATCAAAGTATGGAAAAATTAATGTGTTGATCAGCGCTCAAAGAATTGATCATGGTAGAGAATTTTGGTAGCTCCAAGGACGTGAGCAAGTCGTGTAATTTCTACTTAAAGTATTAACTACAAAAGATTCTCAAGACAAAATCTTGTCAAGAGTTGCCCTAAATAGCTTTAAAAATATATTGCAACTGTATTGTAGTGTATTTGCTTGAGTGCCACAAACTCATGTAGCTTGGAAACAGTGCACATGATGCTTATAAGGTGAAAGTGGCTGAGATGAGTGAGGAGCTGTTATTTAGGTAGTGGTACAATCAGCACTTTTTTTAAGCTGAGGAAAATCTGTTTAACTGCTTGTAGCAGTTAAGTAGAATAATAACAGGTAAGGTTGTAAATATAGCTAGCTTAGACAGTCTGTAAGTTAATTCATCTACCTCACATGGGTCAGACTTGGCGTGGGAAAATGTCTCATGTATGTCACGTCCACTAACGTGTCCAAAGAAGAAGCACGAATTAAACGGTACTGGGGCACATAAAGAGGTAGAGACTGAGGATGCTGTGGACAAGAAATCTCCAATACAATTGTAGTTCAGAGTATTGCCGTCAACCAAGGCAGCAAGCACAGTATCTGGCACATGAGCAGTACTAGTATTATAAAGACACCTCCATATGTCAGAGAAAGTAAAGAAGTAAGCCATTATTTTAAGTATCTTACAAACAAAATATATCGTACCAACCACTCAACTTAAGGTTTTGGCTAAAACCTTCCTGGTCTAAGGCTCTAAATCAAAGTGTAAGTACAAGTAATGATAACTCTTTGAAAGCCTACATCAGATCTGTATAGGAAACGCAGTGTACTGGGAAATTGCTGAAGCATCAAGTTTTCCATTTACACCAAACAAACTTCGCCCACTTATACGAATATAACTTTAATTATTTGCAGAGTAACCAGTAAATTACTTAAAAAATAACAAAACCCGCAAGTATGATGAAGAGAGAGAAAAAGAGACGGCTCAAAGGTTATTATGACTAAAAAAAGATCCCTATTTGGCCAAAGAGCAAAATGCATGGGTATTGGCAAGCTTATTACTATTTCTTAAGAGCTTAAGTTAAAGCAAAGCGTTAGGATGAGAATGGAAACGTAAAAAGAGTATAAACCAAATGTTCTTAAGCAGTAATAAAATACATACGTATGCTAATTAATACTTATGACTTATTCTCGGCCCACTGTCTCAGCTTCGCCCGAGACTTACTAAATAGAACACCGTAGTGTGTGAGCATGTTACATGAAATATTTTTAGTTAAAAATTTAATATCTATTCCTGACACTGATCAGAATAAAAATCTTCTTATTAACAACATATTTGTTCGGAATTTATACAGTTTATTTGGTCAAATATGAGGCTGTAAAACTTAAAAAAAAAAATAAGTATGCTGAAACGTTCTGTCCGTTTCTTATGCCATGAAGTAATCATTGGTTATAAGGGGCCGTTGGTCGGCAGTTTTTCCTGTATTATTTACAAAAAGGACTTTTTTTTAAATCTAATAATTTTTAAAACTCTCAAAAAATATACATTAAAAGAAAATTTTTTTCTCTTTCCTCACAACTTTATTACCAGAGCAACAAAGTCCTGAAGTTTGATCCCTACACTTTTTATTACCACAAAAATACAAATATTTTTTCTACTTATTTACAAATCTAGAAGATTTATGAGATTACTGTAAGGGTACAATGAAAAGCTGATCTCTCACGTAATGGATTCTTTATTTTTCAATTTTGACGCTGCTGTTTCTATCTCGATTAATTTTCTCCGTCAGTTCCTTGAAGCGTAAAATTGTATTTATTAGATACATTTGAAGTTTTCCTTCCAATTCACCCTCTTGCGATTTTTAGGATGCTTGAGACTTTTGTGACCCCTAAATAGTGTTTTTTGTCAAGTTTGTTAAGTTCTTACATATTTGTTGGCAAGGTAGTTTGACGTCCGATTGCCCTAAAAAGGTGAGTTTTTTTCTGACTGGTGAGCTTCTTAAGTGAAATCTTTCTTGACTGAAGTTTACTGCAATTGTAACTGCCTGGATACCTCAGCGTGATCTTCTCTGGCCTGCTGTTAAAGCCCTAGATTAATCAGGAGAAAAATTACAAAGTCCGAGACTTTGGAGCTATTTGTAGAGATCTTTCTAAAGGTTATTTAGTATAACGTCAAAGAAGTTGGTGTCTAAGGCACCTTTTTTTGCAGACTCAGTTGTTTTGGCGATCCAAGATGGAAAGATTGATTTGCGATGTTTGCCCATTGGCGACTGCCCCGTTGGCTCAAGTTTTTCTTCTCTTTATAGCAGCTAGGTTTGCCCATCACAGAACTTGGAGAGGATTGGTGATTCCTGATTAAATGCTTAATGTCAAGAGGTTAATATAGGATCGTTGGTCACCTGGGTTTCCAGTTTTGCGAAGAACAACTCTGCTCGTGACAATTTCCAGTAAACAACTGACTTGGTCTAATAGTTGCCGTTTTTAGTTAGCATAGGCTTTTAGTCGACAATTCTCTTTAGAAAATGGTAGTAGCAATGTATATATTAGCAAGGTAGTTTAAATTTGGGTGGCCCTTTAAAGAGCTCATGGGATTGATAGTTAAGTAGGGAAGGTTAATACTTATAATGGCCCTGAAAAGGCCCAGTAGTAGGACTTCCAGCTGTTTCTTATGATTATTTCTGATTATAAAGAGCTGGTTGTAGGTAGTTTGACTCTTACTCCCGAAGTCTTTGTGTATGGAGTTTGTGATGGAGGAAGGTACGTCACTGACCAAAGAATATCTCGTCTTCGGATCGTTTCCTGGATAACCAACCGCTCATGGTTAGTCGGGAAAATGGACCAAGAGAAAACCTTCTGTGTGAATATGCCGTTGGGAGTGCCCACTGAGAAGAAAGCCGTTGTAGCTGCTCGTACTTCTAAGGGATGTCTACCCTAACTTGCATTTGCAGTTAAAAATTCTCTGACGGCCCCAGGCAGGATGGTGGAATGGCCACACAACTTAAAAGTATTTGAGTACGTTGTGCTCTGGCTAGATACGTCGTATAGTATTTCGCTGGAGACATTGTTGGTTAGAATAATTTTTTATTAGTGACACTTGTCAACCCTACAGTTTCAAGGTGGAAGAAGACCTAGGTCACTTGCCAGTTGGAAAATCGTGTCATTGGTAACCGGGGTACCCAGCTGCACGACTATCATTTACATTTCAGATACAGCTCGATGAACTTCTGCTAGCCGACTAAAAAAATTTTGAAGACGCTCTGGCCCAATATAACTGCACTAATTTAATTTTGTTGCAGGTAGCTTTGATCTTATTTTGACGACACCTAGCATATCCTACTGAACTAAAGTGAGTAGCTCGCGTATTATTGCAAAACTTTGAGCTTATTTATTGCTATTGTTATTAAAATTTTCAAGATAAAAACTTTACTATCACCATCTAGAAAAGGTCAAGAATCGGTATGCAGAATTTTAGCAAAATCGATTGAGTAGTTCTCAAGGTTAGTGGTTACAACAGTTTTACCGACTTTGCTTTATTTATGAGCAAAATTAATAAATTACAAGTGGTGCTGTTTTGATAACGTAATAGGTCGTTT